CTAGGACAGAACATACAGTAAAATGGTCCAATGAGTTTGTTTCATGAGGTCAAAGGCATGAAAGAACACTTAACAAACAAGGTCATGAACACAGATGTATTTGAGACCAGAGAATAATTTCTAGTTCCACATAACATCTCTCATACTCTGAATTTGATACACAGATACAACACACTTTTAGGGATTTAGAAATTGGGATTAATTTGATAATAGAAGACAAAAAAGAAAGCTACAGAAACAGAACAAGAGAAATAGAAAGAGGGAACTCAGTAGTATTAATTAATAACATTTAAACATAGGCAAAATAAATAGGCAATATTTTTTCTAAAGGCAAAAGCTGAATATTAATGATTATGTGAAGGTCTTATAATTACATAAGAATCTGAACTCAATATAATGCTTGAGAAATGGGATTTTTTTAGATTTATTTTATTTTCTAATAAGAGAAAAAAACTTTATTGTTTAACCCTTGACTAAAAATTTTAAACCTTACGTTATACAAGTTGATATATTTGTCTAAGTAAAATAACACAGTATCTGGAGAAATCAAAGATGGAAAAAATATGGTCTATGCTCATGAAGACATTATAGTCTAGTGGCAAGAAGGACAAATACAAAATACTATAATAACAGCTACAATTAAAGTATGTACAAAATACAGGGGAGAGTGTATTTATTTGTACATGAGAATATAAGAAATGTCAGAGTCTCAAGCCAGTCAGGAAAATCTTCTTGAAAGCAGAGGGAGCTTGAGTACACTTAATAAAAATGGGTAAGAGAAAGAATAGATAAGTGGACAAAGAAATGTCCAAGCAGAGGGAATAGGATGCACAAAGGCCCAAGGATCTCAAAGAATTTTTTTTCATTGTGGAGGAGGGAATCTAGGATGATAGGAATATAACACAAATGACTCACTGGAGGATTCCTGTTATATATTTTTTATTCGAATCTATAACATTTTTAAATATTATTTTAGTTTCACGATATTATCCTGTTAGTGCTCGGGGGGTGGTAATATTTATTGACATATCAGATATATATATATAAAGAAAAGTATACAACTAATCATTATATAACTCAATGACTTTTTATAGTTTGAGCCAACACTAACCAGATCAAGATTATTCAATAATCATAGATTATTATCAATAATCATAGATTATTACCAGTATGCAAAAGCCTCCTTCATGCCCCGCTTCCAAACATTAACCATTGCCCATCCTTAGCCTCTACTGTAAGTAATGACTTCTGAAATCATCAGTTTTGCCTGTTTTTGAAATTTATATAATTTATATAAATATATGTAAAACATCCTCTTTTGCTTCTGATTCTTTTCCTCACAACTGTTTGTGAAATTCATCCAATTGTTTTACGTTGCAATAGTTTGTTTATTTATATCACAATATAATATCCCATTCTATAACTACACAACTGTAGATTCATCTGTTGCACTTCTGATAAACATTTGGGTTATTTTCAACTTGGGAATCTTATGAATGCTGATAATGTAAATATTCTTGCATATGTCATTTCCTGAACATGTACTTGGGCTTAACACCCAAGAATGGATTTGCTGGTCAATTAGGGTGTAGAAAGTGGTTATACACATTTTGGATCCAACAGTTGTGTTAGGGTTTCACTGGCTCCACAATCTCACCACCACTTGGAATCATGATTTTCATTTTCCACTGTGTGTGTAGTAGTTTTTCAATGTAGTTTAGTTTAAATTTTCAATGTAGTGTAGTTTAAATTTTCAATTTTCGATGGCTGAGTTGACCAGGTGCTCATGTTTTCATATGGTTTGGGGCCATTCAGACTCTTGTGCATCCTATTTTTAAACATATTTAGCAGACCTTTCAATCATCATCATTGTAACCTAACAAAAGTGGTACATACACTAGAAATTACTGCAGAATTTTTTAAGCAATTTTTTTTTTAAGCAGAGTCTCACTTTGAACCCCTCAGTAGAGTGCTGTGGCATCATAGTTCATAGCAACCTCAAACTCTTGGGCTCAAGTGATCCTCTTGCCTCAGCCTCCAGACTAGCAGGGACTACAGGCACCCATCACAATGCCTGGCTATTTTTAGAAAAGGAGGTCTCAATCTTGGTCAGGCTGGTCTTGCACTCCTGAGCTCAAGAGATCCAACTGCTTGGGCCTCCCAGAATGTTAGGATTATAGGCATGAATTTTAAGCAATTATTGATAGCATTGCTATCTTCCCATGAGTAGAAATAATTTGCTCATTTTTTTCTATTCTTCTCTTCTACCCATATTCATTCTTCTTTTATTCAAATCTTATTATTCACCACTGCTTTATCCCATCTTGGTTTCCAAAAAAGTCAATAAACAGAAGTCAGCGAACAATACCCAAGTACATCACAGATTTGAACGACAAGTCTGCATCAAGAGCCAGCCTTCATACTTGATAGGTGCCAAATGTTTGAGGTTGTTTTTGATTTGTTATTGTTCATGTGTTTCTTTAAGTAAACAACAAAAACTAAGCCTTCTTCCCTATTTATTTGAAAATAAAAAGGTCATTCATAAAATTTTAATTGGATAAATCTAACTGTCTCCTTTTTGACAATTTGAGTAAATAATGTTCAGTCAGCACATTAAGAGAATATCAGAAGGGAAATGGAACAAATAAAGGAGTCTATTACAAAAAGAGACGAGCAAAAGAATATACCCAAGTGCTTTCTCTCACCTTTCTGAAGGCTGAACAGTCACACTGGGCAAAAATAAAGAAGCTGTGACCTTTTTCCCTCCTCTGCATGATTAATTACTTTTATGTCCTATTAATTGGAAGATATGGCTGAATTTCAAACACTTTCATTTTCGGTGCATATCATCCTGCACTGTAACCACCGATTAAGCTGTTCATCAAAGGTGATCCCACAAGGTCATCTGAGCAGGAATTCTTCAGCTATTCATTACCCACCATCAATGGTAATTAACAATGGTAACATTTCCATAAATCAAAGTCTTTCTGATTATTCTCTGATGATAAACAGTCAAAACGTGTGCATCCCAGTCCACCCCCTTTAATTTTATATGAAAAATTTAGTCTAAATATAACACAGAGAAAATTCAGTTGAAAAATTACAGTAGTTTAATTAAAATGCACCAAGAAAATAAGGTTATGTACCTTTGGGAAAAAATGCAAACCTATGCACAAAACTAAATAAGTCTGCTTAAAATCAGAGATCACATGGAAGAAGGAGAGCGTGTCAACCACATAGTTACAATTTATTCTTCAGCAACGAAAATTATTACTCATTTCAGCCTCAGAAATAACTACTTGCCTGCTCAGTAATGGCAAATTAGATTAAAGAGCAGATTTAATTCATTCTGCTACCAAAGTACACATCGGGTTAGATCCATGAAAACCTTTCCTGGCCAGGCACAGTGGGTCCTGCCTATAATCCTAGTACACTGGGATGTCAATCTGAGAGGACTGCTTGAGGTCAAGCATTAAAGCCAGCCCGAGCAAGGAGACCCCTACTCTTCCCTAAAAAGAGAAAAAATTAGCCTGGCATACTAATAGGCACCTGTGTTTCCAGGTACTTGGGAGGCTTAGGCAGGAAGATTGCTTGAGCCCAGGAGTTGGGAGGTTGCAGTGAGCTGAGATACTGCCTCTGTGTGCTAGCCTGGATGACAGAGCAAAACTTCACCTCAAAAAACAACAAGAAAAAGAAACCTTTCCAAAAGTTTATTTATTTTTATAGAATATTTACGATAATATAACTTATTGTTTGGTTCTATTTTATTTGCTTTTTGTACTTGCGATATATTGTATATTATTGATGTTTTACTTTTTTAAATCATATTATTTAGCATATTCTAGGATTCCACTGATAAAATTTTCTCTCTTCAATCACCAGAATTGACATTTTCCTTTCCTATGGCTATGTCTAAAATTAGTTTAGGAAGAACTAACTTACTGAATTTATAAAAAAATAATAATAATTAATTAATTAATTAAAAACCATTTTTAAACTAAAAGTATATTTTAAATGTATATTACTAGTAGTGGGCAATCAACACATTTGTGTCATGTATTATAATATAATTATTATATATTATTATTATATATACATGATTATATATAATTATATGCTATCTTTGTTTCTTTCTAAATATTGGAAGAAAAATAGTTTGTGCTATTGTTATATTTTTAAATTCTTGTTCACATACTCTATTTTATAATTTAGTAAGTTATTGCTAAACATATATGAAGAGAACTTGGAATTAGTCCCAAATAATATAGCATTGAAAGCATAAATTTTAGTCTAATGAAGTTAGAAGCAGTATATAAATATATATATATATATATATAGAGAGAGAGAGAGAGAGCCCATGTTAATGTGCTTTTCACAAGAAAAAGCACAATTCAAAGTGGCTTAAATAATTAGAAAATATGTTGTCTCCAAAAACCAAAAATCAAGGTCTATAACAAAGCAAAGTCAAGGTAAAAAGTAACAGTGTTGGTCCTATTTCTCTACAACCAACGTTGTTTCCATGCTTCCAGCCCTCAAAGTCATTGGCCAGCTTGTGACCAGTGAGAGATAGATACGCCCTCTTTCCCCACCATGTCATTAAAAAGTCCCTCCCCTCATTCTGATGGGGTCAAACCTGTGTGTGTTAACTGAATAATTATTGAATGAGTTGATTCCATGTTTATGATTTTTCTTTGAAAACATTATTATCTCTGCTTTTTTAATTTTTGGTTTGCCATGTGGATTTATTATTAAATAGAAGGGGAAAAACCTAACACTTATTTTTCTATAAAAAGGTAAAGAAAGCATTCTTGAATAATTTAGGAGGATAGAAAGTTATTAAGGGAAAGGCAAAGAATGTTTTAAGGCTCTTAATTGTGATCTAGTAGCAAAATAAATTAGCTTATTATAAGAAATTATTATTGTCATCATGCTTAAAATAAGAAAATGCCACATATTTCAGAGGTATTACCCCACTATGGGGTCAAGAGAATGAGTCTCACCTTGTGGCATCTCGGGGGGCAGATAATGGGGCTCTTGTGCACTCACATGTACCCATTCAAAGTCATCATACAGATCCTGGTGGTAGTCGCAGGCCCCCGGACCATCATCGAAAGTACAGCCACCTAGAAGAGGAAAAGATGATGACTGTTACATTCTAAAAAGATTTTTCTAAAGGCAGGAGAAGCACACGTTATGGTGTAATATGTAATGCAGCACTCAGAATTTTAATAACAACTGATACTCAGGTTTATCACTATTTTCTTTAAATTTTCACATAAAAAATTTTTCCTAGTATCTTCTGTTTGCATGAGAAGCAAGTTTGAGCCTCAGAAGGTAAAGGCACAGATTTTTAGTGATCAAAAATAACACAAGATACATCGATAAGTGAAGTTTTCCAGAAATAGACAAAGCTCCTAGGATCTAAATAGATTTTAACAACTTTAGTGGGGAAAGGGAAGAAAGAAAAGAAGGAATTGTCTTTCTTTGTAATGCAAGTTCAAAGGGTGAATTTAATATTTCTCTCACCAAACTCCTCTCTTGAAAACAACTATTTGAAATCTCATAGTAAATGAAACACACAAAGCTTTATAGGCGCTAAGGTGTTTGAGGCCTATGATATCTTCCATACTTAAATTACTTCCATATACAATTAGGATTTTAAGGTGGGAGCACTGAAGCACATAACCAGTCAGATTATCCCATAATCACTCTCACCACTTCCACTTTATTTAATAATCCTTTTTTTTTTTTAAGGGAAGTAGCATTTCCTCTTCACATCGGTCATTCTTTCTTTCTGGCTTTATTTTCAGGGGTAATTTTATGGCAGAAGTAGAATGATTACTTCCCCCTCTCACACTGTATGTACAGGCACACACAACTCAACATATTAGGTTTATTAAAATCATGAAAATAAGAATTGGCCTATATGTCTAATCTTGAAAGAAAATGGATTAGAACTAATGAAAATCCAGCAGTGGGTTTAATGAGAAAAACCAATAACTTGTCTCCTTTCAAATAGCTTATTTATTTAGTTTCCATGGGGATCTCTGTGAAGAAACTCGATAAACTCTCCGATCAAGCAACAGGCTAAGGATTGGTATACTTCAGTCTTAGAAATTGTTCTCTGCAAACAAAACTTTCCTCATCAAAATTTTAGCTATTTGAGTATGAATAAAAATTACATTCCTCACCAATGACAGAAAGGAAACAGTGTCATTTGCAAAACAGGCAAAATCAAAGATGTCCACGTGACACTGTAACACTAAAACCTTAAAACTGTTTACAAAACCAGAATGCCTATAATCCCAGAAATCCCAGGCAGGAGGATTGCTTGAGGCTACAACTTCAAGAGCAGCCTGGACAACATAGTAAGACCCAGTCTCCACAAAAAAGCATTTTTAAAGCAGTAAAGCTTGCTTGCACATGTCTGGAGAGGATGAGGTGGGAGAATGGCTTGAGCCCAGGAGTTGGAGATTACAATGAGCTATCATCATGCCACTGCACCCCAGCCTGGATGAAAGAATGAGACACTATCTCTTAAAAAAAAAAAAAATTAATTAATTAAATAACCAAACTCCAAAAGCTTGAAAACTTATGTCATCTTTTAAGCAGACTTCCTATAAATGTTCTCTTGAAAAATGATGTACATTTTAATCTAAAATTCATCAATGAAAAGAGGTTGCTAGGAAATGCATCTTCACATAGCAAGGGGAAAGTTTTTCTCAATATGTAATTTGTTATCACAACCCTGAAATAACTTATTCCTTTGCAACACAGGCCTTCAGGGCCCCCATTACCCTTTATAATAGTGTGAGTGCCCTCTGTATATAAATTTAAACTACCAGAGGAACCCACATTGACTCATTTGGAAGACAAATGGCCTTAATTGCCATCCTTTATAGTCTCTGCTAATTTTAGGCTACAGGATTCTGATTAGCAATAACAACTAGGAGTAGCTGTACAAAATAAGTGGGTCAACCCCTGCTATTTGTTGCAATCATTGCCATATCAGAAACGTGCCAAGAGAGTCTTAAAAATCATGATCAATCCATTTGATTTGAGAGATAGAAAATGTTGAGAATTTTTAATTTAGTTTTTAAAAGTTCTAATGCAAGAGGTATAATATATCGCATATTAATAAATCTTTCACAAATTCCTTTATAAAAAATTTTATTTAGAAATTAAGGACTAATATGGCATGTATAGGAGTAAATAGGAAATATTACAAATAATTTTTTTGTACTGATAAGTGAGACAGACTATGTGGGATGTGTGTGCAGATACATGTATACGCACACATACAGTATGTTATGAGGGATAACGTAGTGTGATCAAAGTTCCAAATAACATAAAAGAATGTGCTGCTCACACAAGGGTTGGTTCCTTGTACCATTCCTAATGAGAAGGAAGGATGTACCAAGCAGAAAAATGTCAAAATGGAAATGAGATTGAAATTGGGGGGAAAAAAGAGCAAAAAGCATCTGAGTCTAAACGAACATGGTCTATTGGGAAACCTCAAATAATTCCCTGTAATGAGCATGCAGAATATGTAGGGAGCTAGGCAGTAAAAGAGCTAAATATAAACGATTTTAAATGTAAATAAAAGGAGCTTAGGGTTTGTCCTGTAGTTGTATTGAAACCATTAAAAGGCTTTATCCAATAGTATGACACAATCTAAGATACATTAAAAAATAATGGCAATAACAGCAGCTATGTAGTTTAAAGAGGGTGGGGTGTACAATGGAAATAAATAATTTGATTCAACCTAAACATAGACGGCACATTTCACACCCCAAGCTAATTCCACCAGGTGCAGTTCTTACTGACCATTTAAAAATTCACTAGAAAGCCCTAAACAGAATGTTTTCTGGGACACAGAACAGTCTCCATACACATGCTCCTGAGCTGAGACATTGTTATGTTCTGCACTGTCATTTATTTAAAAGAGAAATGTCATAGGAAAGTTCTAAGCCATAAATTAAAACATGCTCATGATCTAACGTTTCACTGAGCAGGATGGCGAAAGAGAGGGAGGCCCGACTGAAAGGCAGCTAGGCAGACGGACGAAAATCGGGTGAGGAAACATCTTCCATTTTCAGTTGTAGTATTTGCTGCTGGAGACGAGGCTACAATGAGCTGCAGCAAATCATGGGGAGAGATGGCGACCACAGTCCCTTGACCCCTGGAAGAGAATTACTTCTGAAGAGCATTTCACAGACTGCTAATTCCTCCACGCCCATCCATCATCCAGCTAAGGGACACATCTATCACCCACAATGCTCTGCTTTCACGATGGCCAGCCACTTGAGGGGGGTTGCAACCTGTTTACCTAAAAATAAAAATCAAGCTGATTTGGACTTGCCAGAATTTCTTTCCATTCCTAAACTTCTGACTGAAAAATCTAGTACTGCTTAATACCTGGTATTAGCACACCCCCCCCCCAAAAAAGAAGAGAATTAAGAATTTAGACTTTAGCATTTAAATAAGTAGCTTGAGTGCTTATTTAAACAGACCATTTCTAAGAAACCATGAACAAAATGAATATTAAAATCCTTTCTAAGTCAAACTTTGCAATAAAACCTAGGGTCAGATTAATTTAAATAAAGTTGAAATGAAGAAAAATAAAATAGCAGGAGAACATTGGATAGGTCTGAATATTGGTGAAGGACTTTTTTTAAAAAGATACTGTCCTAGTATCGTCCATATTCTCTCCGCCAAGGCACTCATATGTTCTTAATTGTCTGATTAAACACAAAAGCAAGAAACTAACAGAATTCCCTTTCATGGTTCTTTAGTATTTGTAAAGAAACAAGCTTCAATTGGCTTAAGATACAGACTATTTTCTTAAATCATTTGAAATATATAAGATTTTTTAAAGTAGGAGGAAAGTCCTGGGCAAACTATGTTTGCAAATGCAGTATCCTTAGCACAGTCCTTTGATGACCTCAAAATGGATAAATTAACCTTCTCCAATTGTGAATTAAGCTGTGATACACAAATTTGCTCCTGTGAGTGATCATCAACTTTGGAATGATCTTTCTTTCAATTAGAAGACAGACAAAGATTAATGCACATCACATTAGGATACATGCGATACCATGTGAAATAACTTTGACTAGGTCACCTCTACCTATGCTATCAGAAACCATATATTAATAAATTAACTGATATAATCTCCAAAACTCATTACAAAGAAGCCAAAATATTTCACCAAAAATTCAAAAGAATAAAAAATGAACTTGTTGATGAATATTTTAAATATGATTCCATTTATAATCTGAATAAATACAACCTATTCTCAGAAAAGCAACTACTGGAAAAAATGTATTGATGCTTTTAAATAAATATTCCTCTGAAATATACTGGGATATTTTAATAGTGGTTTTTACCTTTTAACTCTATACTTCTGGTAATTTTGAAAGTACTAAATAAAAACTGAAATACCATGATCAACATCTAGATCGTTTATATCTGCTCTAAGTACCAATAACTTTTCTTTTCCAATTTGAGCACTGAAATTAAAACAGGAAAAGATTCCAAGTAAATACAGAAAAATGAATGCTGTTACGGCAATATAAAGGAATCACAGTCAAGCTATATTGCTCTGGTTAAGTACCAAAGAGGATCTCCTGGAAGAAAACTAAGAAAATTTATGTGTAAGAGTTCTTTAAAAGATAATCACTTTAAACCCCCCCTCCCCAAAAAAAATTCGTTGCCCTGCGTGTAATTAGAATGTGAAAATGTTTTCAAGCTACCTCCTTCATAAAGGTAAAGACACTGGAGACACATTTGTGCAAATCCAGACCCAGCATTTATTGATAGGTAGAAAAAACTATTTTTTAAATTTTTTTATTAAATCATAGCTGTGTACATTAATAAAATTATAGGGTACAATGTGCTGGTTTTATAGACAATTTGAAATACTTTCATCAAACTGGTTAACATAGCCTTCCCTGCATTTTCTTAGTTATTGTGTTAAGATATTTATATTCTACCCTTAGTAGATTTAAACATGTACCCTTGTAAGATGCACCGAAGGTGGGTACCACCAATTATAGAAAAAAACTCTCTATGAAGAAAGAAAAACTCATTTCAAACACACCCATTAGTTCATCCCTAGTAC